TATTACCGAGTGGGCGGGCGCGCGCGAGGGCGGGCCCGCGCATAACCGAGCTTGCTTGGCCGAGGACGAGGTAACTTCATTATTCTCGCCCCCGGGTCGCGACCTACCTCGCTCCCGCCGCCGCCGCCGCCGCCTTGCCACAAGTTGCAGGTTCCTTGCAAGCCTGTTCCGTCCCCCATTCGCTCTTTCATTCTCACTCTGTCGTACTCTCTCTCTCTCTCTCTCTCTCTCTCTCTCTCTTTCTCTTTCTCTCTTTCTCTCTCTCTCACACACACACTTTCTCCTTCTCTCTGCTGTACTCATTTTCTCCTCTCTTCCTCCTTGCCTTTACTTCCCATCTACCTTCATTCCTCCCTCTTCCCACCTCTCTCTACCTGAATCTTCCTGCATCTTCATTTCGGCCACTTTATTTCCTTTTTTCTCTCTCTCTCTCTCCTTCCTTCTTTCTGTTTCTCCTTCTCTCTTTCCCTTTCTCTCCCTGATTTTATTTATCTTCTCCCCTGTTAGTTCGTTCCTTTCCCTCTCTTCCAATCTCCATCTTTCTCTCTTTCTTTTCTCTCTCCATCTACATCTTTATTTTAGTATGTTTTGTTTCCCTTCTCTTTCTCCCGTCATTTTCCATTATTCTTTGATGATTTGATATCCTTTTTATTGTCTATCTGTCTGTCTGTCTGTCTGTCTGTCTCTCTCTCTCTCTCTCTCTCTCTCTCTCTATCTCTCGTTTCAATGTTCCTGACTTATACTCTCTCTTTCGCTCTCTCTCTTTCTTTCTCTCTATTTTTCATTATCTTTCTTTATGTCTCTCGTCGTGCCTTTCTCTGTACACATTTTTTCCTTTTCTTTTTTCTTGTTTCGTGTTCGAAAAACATCAGCAGTATTAATTACTGAATTGGGTGGTTGAACAGTTTACCGAGTAACCCTTGCTTTTTGACATGTCAAGTCACTGCCACAAGAAATATTACCATATGAGGAAATTCTTTCATGTTGATCATTCCGTAAAGATGCCATAATGTTGAATTCTTAGACCACTTCGAAGAATCTGAGTAGTTTTCAATGGTTTCTCCTATCAACTCCAGGTGAATGTAGGAACAGAACCCTAACAAATGGGCCATCGACAGCGCGTGTTTTCCCCTCCTCTTCCTTGTCCTATCCTCACTCCTTACTCCTTACTTACATAGCCACACACACTTACATGTACTCTACACTACCACAAATGCCAGGAGACCGGTCGGAGTACAAAGTTGGTCCTAGCTGGGGCAGTAACCCCGCTGGCAGTAGATGCCTGGGTTGAGAGGAAAAGGAAGATGACGCGCAAGTCGGCGTCGGATCTCAACATGGAAGAACACTGCCACCTCCCGTGATGAAGCAGGCACTACCCTTACGGGACTAACGATCAGAGCAGTTCATGCGCCCGGAAACACGAAAAAATTAATAAATCAATAGAAGGATTTGATATGATGTGTAAACGCGTAATTGTACGTGCATTGTTTGCTTGGTGTTACTTGACAAACTAGTGGTGCTACGGAATGGCACAGATTTTCTCGTACTAGTTGACTTCCTAATTTCTTTAGTCTAAGTTTCTTTTGTCTAAAATTTGGAGCTATTTTCAAGCAAATGGCATTTAAGAGTTTCAGAAAATGCGAAAATTTGAGTTCATTTTCACAGAAAACGTTTGAGTTTTTGAGAAACTTTATAAGAAATAATTTAATATAAATGTACTTATAAATGTAATAATGTTTACCAGTCACCGGTATTGAAAAATATTAACGTAGTGAGAAAGATGTCAAAAATATTACAACCGCGTAATTTAAAAACAACAAAAGAATACAGCAAAATGGCGTTTATGTAATATGTCACAGTACGTTGAACACAAAGCTTATCAAAAGTTTAAAGAAAGAATGTGGAGTAGTTTTTGAGAAATTCTTGGTTGGATATTTTGCCCATATTTCACTCAAAACTGCACACCAAGAGCTAAAATTTTCAAACAAAATGTACATGACCTTAATGACAGTACTGATTATGGAGAAAAATTAAATTTGAATAAAAAACATCTCTCTTCAATTTTGAAGTTGTAGGAAGATGCTCAAAAAGTTTCGAACCTCCAAAGATTTCGAAAATTTCCGAAATATCAGTGTGCACAGTAAAAAACCTATGTCTCTCTTGAAGGTGAACTTTACTTTTTTCTTGCCAGAAATTTCAAGAAAAATTTCGAGTCATATTTGAGGGAATTTTGAATATGTCAAAGGGGCTGCAAGTAAAGTACCCCCAAAAGTGTTTTTACATCACAAAGCTTCAAGGCGGGCCGGATTGACGGGGTATATTAATTTTGAAAAAATACTACGATTAGTTTAGGCTCAAGTGATGTTCAAATATGAACAGTCGGTCAAAAAACAAACCTTTTGTCTTGTCAGGGGTCTCGAAAAGGTTTTTTCCGTTGAAATCTTGAAATCGATTTTCCGCAACATACATTACATACCTTTCTCTTTACTGCGTATACTATATACCTTTCCCTTTACTGCGTATGCGACACAGAAATAGTCACATTTGAACCGAATAATTATTTTTATTTTAGGTCTTCTTTGCAAGATTGAAATGCATTGCAAATGAAAATATGATTAAACATTTCTTGCTTGGACAGTATTATCGTTGAAAAAGTTAGCAGAGGTCTGCAAGTAAAAACCTGAATAGGATGCTTATACATACTCGTATAGGTTTCAACTTGGTAAAACGTAAAATAAACAGATAATGTTCCATCTCGTCACTTTTTTGCTTCGCTAATATTTTTTCTTTGTAAGAGTATTTATCATAAAACTATTAATTAACTTAAAATGTAGCATTCTGCTTTTGTATAAAAAAACCTTAAAGGACGATTTCTCACATTACTTATATCAATTGTGTCTTAACTTGGCACTAAATGAAAAAAATTTTATAGTTGATAGAGTAGTTGTACGGGGTACTGGATAAAGTAGTGTTAGTGTCATCAGAAAGGTCGCATGATCGTGCAAAATCGGGTTAAAAGTTGATAGTGAGTAAGACGAGCATGTTTAGACTTGTTTTCTGGAGTACTAGGTATAAATATAAACAATCTGTTTTTAGCTTAGACCGTGTTTCACAAGCAAATGAAGTTCAATCTTATTCCACATTCAGATTATATTCAGCATTCAAACGAAACTGTGGTTGTAATTTTATTTTTGAAATATGGATTGCAGAGGTTATGTAATTTCTACCGGCAGCTTCTGTTACATATGTGATGAATATATAGTAAAAAGTCAACAAAGAAACTTGAGTGAGTAGGTAATAAAAACATACATAAAAAATAAAAACGGGGCATATGCTTCAGAACACCACTAGTTTGCGAAAGTTGGGTAATCCTACCCTAAAATCTCAAATACATACATTCATTCACACTATGAAATTATGTATTAATGTATATTGAATGTATAATGTATACTATGAAATTATGTATGAGAGCCCATAGATATCCTCCTGTGAAATTAGTTCTTCCCCAGCTGATTCAACATGGCTTAACCGAGTTTTGAACCTCGAACCAGTGGTGAAACCTAAAATCACAGTCGCTAGAGTTTAGACTACAGGAATCTCTAGAGACAAGATTCCTTGTAAACTCACAAAGCCGTACGCTCATGGGCTGCCCCCCACAAAAAAAAAAAAAAATTGCGCCCTCGTCTTTTAGGCTGCGCACACCTATGTCAACTCGAGAACTTTTATCTACTTCGCACCCACCTATACCCACCCCTACGAATTCCTTGACGCCCTCAGCTGAGGAAACGGAACATCTTCAATCACTTCCTTATTAACTACACAAAAGACCACTGAGAATCCTACATCTGCGAACCTCTTTCGTTAGCAGTACGAGCTGTAATGAGCCGTATGACGGGGATCACGTTATGCCGTCATCACGAAGGGAATTCAAATCTTCGTTAGCTCGCGTGGAGAAATCATTTTTTTTTCAATTCAAACATGTGATGTTTGTTACCCAAAACCATCTACTGACTTTTTAAACGATCACAGTAATTTCTTTAAAAGATTTAACAGCCGAATGAATGGTTTTTGGGTGTCGTTTTGAAATAACTAATATGAGATGCAAAGTTTATGAAAATAATTCGGTTATGGCTTCGGTTTAGATATTGTAATTAATCCTGTATGTACACATACGTATTCACGCTTGAAGTACACACTGCGCTGTAAGGGACCTCAACATTATTTTTACGATATATGCCCACGTCCGTAATTTACTTAACTACAGAATAATTTGTTGAATTGTTCTGTAGAAATTTGTACCCTCATCTGTCACAATGATTTGAAAAATAAGGTGTAATTCTGGCATGTATTTATTTGAAAAATGAAAAAAAGGTTGGTTATTTAGAATTTAATATTACGTATACCAGAGAGAAACATTTTGTATCAATTACACTACTTGACAATCTTCTCCAAAGAAGACTTATTGTAAAAAAACTAACCACAATTCACACACAAACTCCTCAGAGCACTTGATTATAACACTCACCTCCTCCAAACAATGGATGAAGTCAAACCGAAAAGATGGCAATACTTTCCGTTAGGCAATAGCACTAACTTAATTACCGCAAGACCTTATCGATCTAAATTAAAAAATTAAAACAGTAAATATATTAATATTGCCTGGGACCGTGTGTATACGTTCACGATTACGTTATTTTTACATATTAAAATCACATGCTCTGTAATGTTTCTTCTCCTAAGTCACTAAATACTTATATTAAAATATAAAGTGTAATCGTTTCTATTGTAGGAAGTGTATTACGGTACGTTTTTAAGTTTCTCAGCAGATACACAAAAGCGAATATGACATCATCGCATCTATTTTGTTCAATGCAATGTGTTCTGAGTTGTTTGGAGCAGCTGGGTCTTACTCACTGTCACTTGAATAGCCCTCATAAGATAACCTCCAGATTGACCTCTCAAGATTACATTTGCCTGCTGCCACAACTGCTGCTTAAACCCCCGCAAGGAGTCTTCACAACCAGTTGCTTTCAACGATGCAGTCGCTAAACATCACATTCTATTGGTTACTATTTTCCCTCTTTTTCGTTGGGACACAGCAAATTCTTCTGACTTCAAAATGTTCCTGTTACGACCGAACAACAGACTGCTCCTTTCGACAAATGCTCGCAATCCAGGGAAGAGACCTGTGTTCTCAATCTTCAACGTGGAAGTTCAGAGGAAATAACTTAAGAACGTTACCGCAAATCAGATTATCGGGAAAACTTGATTTATCAAAAAATGAATTTGGCCTAAACAAGAGATTTTGGATTAACACAGAACCTTTGTCTGAGCTGGACGCGAGTGATAACTATTTCTCAGATTTGAGTTTTGCCAAGCCCATATGGGATTGTTCATTAAATGTTTTAAATGTTTCCAACAATGGGATATCCAAATTAGACAAAACTCTTGATCGTTGCCGTAATATCCGTGTGTTTCGAATCGCCAACAATAAACTATCACATCTCAACGACGACTCATTTTCAAAACAAGAGCTACTGCAATTTCTCGATTTGGCTGGAAATCCGTTGAAATCCATATCTCCAAAAACATTTTCTGCTCAGAAGAGTCTTCTAACACTTGATTTGAGTAACACGCATCTCTCTGACCTTCCTGTGGATATTTTTTCAGAGTTGACCCTTCTTCAACATCTTCATCTGTCCGGCAGCAATTTCACAAAACTCCCGACGAGCGTGTTCAGCTCACTGAAGTCGCTGGTGACACTGTATCTGCAAAGAAATACCATCAGGGAGCTACAGCCTGGAATATTCGACACACTCTTTCAACTGAAGGTCAGTTAACAAGTAACATATCCTAAAGTAGATATTTCTAATGCATGTGCTGTCGCAGCAGCTCTAATGGAGATATGGACTGCATTACTAAGGCGATTGATTTCGTAATAATGGCATCTCAGCTTTTCTAATTCTCACGGATATTTTTGTCGCTGGAAACCGACACAAAATCGATTCAAAGGGTCGCGACATATCTATATCTACTTTGGCTTGTTTTAATACTAATTAACGTATCATGTGATCATTTTGCATTTTTGTTTTTCGAAAAGTGGAATTCTCTCTACACAATTTCCTCTGTTTGGATTAATTGCGGCACGTACAGTAAAGAAAAGAATAGCTTTCACCATGTATGCACAACCCACCACTCATCAAGGACCCAACTGTTCACGTATCACGGTACAACGGAAGAGTCAAAGGTAAAAATTTCATGAAACACTACGTATTAATAATTTTACGTGATTACGTTCTTTCTGGCCATCAAAGCTCTGTCATCATCTAGCAATTGTAAAAATGTAAATTAGGTTTCGAAATGAAACGACAGGTCGTTGTCTTATGAGTCAAATTATTCATTATTTCTATCACTTGTGTCATAGGGTCTTATTACGGTAGACATTTTCGGGGAATATAATCTTGTCGGGAAAAAAAAGTTTTGGTATCATATGAACACAGTGACTTTTCTCACCCTTCAAAACCTGCGCATCTCGGATGGGGCCGTACACATCAGTCAATCAATTAATCAATCATTAAGATAATAAATCAGTCACATAATCAGTAACTATTTTATTAGCCATTCAGAGAATCAGCCTGTCAGTCAGTCAATCAATCAATCGACTGTCCGACAGTCAATCGACCAGACAGTCAATCGACCAGACAGTCAATCGACCAGACAGTCAATCGACCAGACAGTCAATCGACCGGACAGTCAATCGACCGGACAGTCAATCGACCGGACAGTCAATCGACCGGACAGTCAATCGACCAGTCAATCGACCAGACAGTCAATCGACCAGACAGTCAATCGACCAGACAGTCAATCGACCGGTCAGTCAATCGACCGGTCAGTCAATCGACCGGTCAGTCAATCGACCAGTCAGTCAATCGACCGGACCCCCCCCCCCCCCCCCCCTCAGTCATCGAAACCGGTGCAGTCAATCGACCGGTCAGTCCCTCAATTCAGACCAGTCCAGGTCAAATCGACCGGTCCAGACAGTCTAATCGAACCAGTCAGTCAATCCGACCAGTCAGTCAATCGACCAGTCCAGTCCAGTAGATCGACCAGTCAGTCAATCGACCGCAGTCAGTCAATCGACCAGTCAGTCAATCGACCAGTCAGTCAATCGACCAGTCAGTCAATTCGAACCCAGTCAGTAATCGACCAGTCAGTCATCGCCAGTCAGTCAATCGACCCAAGTCAGTCAATCGACCAGTCAGTCAATCGACCAGTCAGTCAATCGACCAGTCAGTCTCGATCAATCCGGATCAATCAGTCAATCTAGGTTTTTTGTCCCAACGTCTGCTTGTACGGACGTCAAACAAAGCAAGCCTACTCCGTCCCTGGATTTTTTCTGTTTGTACTGGACTATTACTTTTCCATTTGCCGCAAGGTGCTGAACCTGGACAGCAACCAGCTGCAGCACCTTCCTCCCACACTGTTCCACCGACTGCACTCGCTGGAGCATCTGTCTGCGCGCAGCAACCACCTGCGCGCGCTACCTTCGCTGCGCCTGTGTTCGGCGCCGCTGCGCATCGCACTTTTCTCCGACAACGCTATCACGGCCGTCGACGAAGACGACCTGCGCGCGCTCTGGAGGCCAGGTTTCCAACTGGCAGACATTACCAACAACCCCGTCGAGTCGTGTAGCTTCAAATGGGCTAACAGCTCACCCGATATCAATGTGTTCACGGAGGGAAGCCTTGTTAAAATTGGCATGGACGTTATGGATCGTGGAATCGTCTGGATTCAAAATTAGATATTAACAAATAATATCAATATTAAGTAGCAAAGGTGTTAATGGAATTCTGATGATTAACACTAAATATCTGTTACATTCAAGTTCTCTTTTTCAGAGCGGTCGCATCTAAAAATAATTATTGGTAAGAGATGTGAAAACGGCTCTCCCATGACGTAGATTTGCGACGTGTATACAACTTCAAATCTTTTTGCAATCTGGCGGTCGATATTTTAGATGGCAGACATTACTATTAAGTTTTTTGATGCAGATACACTGGTATGGTCTGACAGTATGCATCAGTTCGAAGACTTAATAGATGCCACCATTGTCGAAACTGCCATGGTCGGTAAAGGCCGTGATATCCTCTGTGTTTAAAATTAGCTAGTAAAAAACGTTATTAAATTTTAACAAAGATATTCTACTTTGAAGATTGATTGATTTAACATATGGGTCAATTGCATTCATCATAACTTAAACCAAAGAATGTACATTGAACGAAATACATTCATTTAATTTTCAAGATAAAAACTTAATTCCTAGCAAACATAAACTTGCATTTTGTGAGTTTTGTAGTATATAGTATAAAAAAGGTTATAAATACTCCATTTATCTGAAAGCAATGTTTATAAATCTAAGAATAATATATTATTAGATGAATTTTACCAACTTCCATTTATATACATTATTTTCCCCTAACCTTTAAATATATTTTCTAGAAACATTGTGATATAAAATAAATTGCATTGCTGCTTTTCTTCTTTGCAAATTGAAAATTAGTGTATGCTTTTCACCGGCTTAAAAGTTTACTCTCGCTTTTTCCTTTCAATAAATCAAGAGGCAACAATTTGCACCAGAACATATTTCCTATTGCTATGAATTAATAAATTTAACGATAAAAATATCAGTTTTTAAAATGAGAGAACAGTGCTAAAGTTTAAACAATCAGACTGAAACTGGAAATCAAAATTGTTTCTATGTTGAACAAAATCTTCACTGAAAAGGAGGCCAAAGTTTGCTAAATTTCATATTAATAAAAAAAAAACTTTTTAATCATCGTCACGTACATTTCATTCACTGACTTCTCTACTTACTTAATTGGGTCTCCGGGAGACTTCGGGTCCTAGCCACAGATATTAACGTTTCGGTTGTCATACTGAGACCTTCTTCAGGGAGAAAAGCTTCCATAAGACCATCTTCCGGGGGAAATGTTTCAATGAACATTATTGTTTCAATGAAAGCTACTCATTTTCAAAAACTTGTACACATCCGTATTTAAAAGTCTATTTTCTTAGAATAGATTTCAGTCAAAGAAAAAATATCATCAGTAGTGTACTTTTGCAATGCTAATTTACATTGCTACTTTCGATAATACAGAGAGTTCGACAAAAATGAGATCTGCACCAAATTGGTACTTTGCTCTAAAAGAGAAAAAAAAGAACTTTGAAGCCATTAAAAAAATAAAATAATTCACGAATAATTACGTGACTACTCATATTATCGAAAAATTTAACGTGGCCTGATTGAAAGATACGTCTTTGAAAAATACTTTATTTGGGAAAAGATTCTATCAATATTGTAGAACTTCAATCGTGATCCTTAAACGTTTTAACTTTTGCATTTGTGGAAAATTAAGATACGAATATAAAACCTTTTCTATTTCTTTAACGTGTTACCCTTTACGAAGGGAAAAATAATGAAAAACATTGAAGCCAGTTTTGAGAAAATTATGAAAATGTTAAGGCTTCGTATCACGCATCAACCATATTTAAACGAAATAACCATATATTAAAAATAGACTTTTAAAATTCTCGGGGTCTAGAGTTCGACCAGATCGATTAGGGAATTTCAGTTTTGAAGAAAATCAGAACGTTTGAGACGCTAGCGTTCAGCTACCCGTTCTAGATAGCAGATACCTGATTCCGCGTGTGAGTTATTCCGGGAGTTCCTTTGGCTCTTCTAGAATTTTGTTAACAGCTTTTGCTAGATGAGGCTGTACTGCTGTTAATCAAATTATTCTAGATTGTCTCATTTCCGGGTGATTTCCAGTTTCCCATATTCTTAATTAATTAGAAGAGGTCCCTCTTCCGAGAATTCGTGAACTTGTCCCCCTGTTTCCACACGTCCATCAAGGGAGGTTCTTCACCTTCAACCAATTCAGCAAGGGAGACCCTACCAGTAGAAAGGCTGCAGCCGACATAGCTCGCAGGTTTACGAGGGTAATCAAGTTCCACCATCAACAAGGTAGTGTACTCCCTAGGCTACATTAGAGTTATTATTATTATTATTATTATTATTATTATTATTATTATTATTGACTTTATTTCTCAGTAAAACTGAGCATAAGGAATCTCTCATTTGGTGTCTTAGAACCAGATTCCTGCTATCTGAAAAGTTATTTTACCCTATCCCACTTGAGCTTACTGTAAAACTTCAAACAAGTCCGCAGACTGCCTTTTGTCCAATAGTTTTCAATTTTATTGGTAGTTTCAAAATTCAATTTTTCTGCATCATATTCATTTGATGAGACCATCAAGGCATAAATAAAATCTTTATGCAATTGCCAGATCTGTTTCAATTGCATTCCAAGCTCCTCATACTTCCTGATCTTCTCTAATTAAATGTTCCTGATGATACGGGCAATATCCATTATAGAGACTGTTTTATTGATTTTATTAATGAGGAGGATAACAGGCCTGTTATAATCTACTGTTTTGTCCGTGATTACAAATCACATATTTCTCTGTTTCCAATACAGTGGTTAGAAGGTCATATGGCGTAGAGAGTCAAACATTCTGAGTTAAACAGCACGTTCTTGATGTATTAATTTTGCTAGATGGTTGTGTCTTCCAAGATAGGCAATGTCTGATTAGCAGACAATGCCGGACATCCCTCCATAATAAGTTCAATTGACTCGCCGTGTTTCACATTTTCTGCATTTGTATATCACATGCAACTTTATTGCATTTTCCTCGCAGCTTTTGGTTCGCAAAAACCCTATCTTTGGAGAAGCCAATACAATCGCTTCAGACTCTGAGTATAAATAATCCACTTATTAGCTAATGCAGAGACGCCAAGTTTCATCAAATATTGTTCTTCAGACTTTCGAAAATTTTTCATCCGTGTGTGATTTGTCTGCCTCTTCGCAACGATTATAGTTGATCTAGTGTTATTTGGGAATCGCTCTTTGCGTGACGTTACAGAAAGATCTTCAGTTCAGGGCAGGTGTGCATGTCTAATGGAATTCATGAACCATACTGCTAATCAGGTCAGAGGGTTGTTCTACTTATTATTATATTTATTATTATTATTTATTAATTATTTATTAATTCATTATTTACAGTAATCTACACTGGTCGTATGTCAACCACACCAGGAATGATGACGCAGGTGTGTGGTTGCTTTACTGAAGGTTCAGATGGCTTCTAAACAATACGGCATGTATTTTACATTACTGACTTTTGCAGATTATATACAATCCTGGCATCTAAGTGAAGACAGCTCCAGTTGCCCGAGTGTCATTTTCGGGATCAACTCCTGCTAGCTGATATTAATTAATAGGCACAGTTGTTACTTTAATGAAAGTTCCACTGAGTTGCGACTTCATGGGGGCCCCCGGGGGAAGATCGGTATACTTCTGGATCTTCTCTTGATATTTTCGCCGATAATGATGTGGGTATTAGGTATTGATATACGCGATAGGAAAACTGCTGATGGTTTCTATCAATGTACGTTATATCGGGTCTATTTGCCTGCGACGTGTCTGTCAGTAATAATGGAGCGATCCCAGTAGAGTTTGTGCTCACTACTTTCAAGCACATTCTTGAGGGCACATATTTATAATACGGCACGGAAGTGGCGAGAAAACCCGTTCTCAATGCCAATAATTGGTGGATCTACTTCGCCACTTCATCATGGATCTTTTTGTATTCCAAATGTGTGTGGCTGCTACATCCATTTGTCACGTGTTGGATAGTTTCGCTTTATTATTATTATTATTATTAATATTAATATTAATATTAATAATAATAATAATAATCATAATAAAGCGAAACTATCCAACACGTGACAAATGGATGTAGCAGCCACGCACAGTTGGAATACAAAGAGGCATGATGAAGTGGCTAAGTAGATCCACCAATTATTAATATTATAAATATTAATATTAATATTAATATTAATATTAATATTAATATTATTATTATTATTATTATTGTTGTTGTTGTTGTTTTTCAGGAGTTACACGTTACAACAGCAAGAGAATATTGCCTCGCCGCAGGAGACCAGGGCTGAGAAGCGTGCATTGTAGGGTTCCTGCTAGGAAACTTGCGTGCGTCATATGAAAATACCAGAGAATGAAAGTGAATGAAAGATCCCCCGCCGTTATTTGATATCGAAGCCTCTTACTTTCACAGAACGGAGGGCTTTTTAGCTCCACGCGTGATATTTATTTATGAATCTGTTTCATCACGAAGCCAGAGTAATTGCTTTTTCACTCAACACCAAAGCTGCGTTTAATATTACGGCTGTCCAATTTACATCCCTATTTGATACGGTCTTCTGACCTTCTGGGCAAGCTACACATTTCGAGGTGAGATAGTTTTTCAAATATTAACAAATACGGAAAAAGAAATATAAGGCCGTGAAGAGACCGATATTCAGGATGGTCAAGAGAAATATAATCTGGTCTCGCGAAAATAGTATAATACGACTATGTACTATACCGACTATAGGAATTTTCCAAACAAATTTATATTTTATTCAACTATGTAACAGAATACAGTTATTATTCATAATTTAATGTTTAATTAATTTATCTCTCGAAATATTTTTACTATCTAGAAATACTGGAAAAAAATAAACCATTTTCTTGTCATGAATAAATATTATTACCACGCTTAACATTGTCATTAATGCGGTTTCACTGTATCCCTTTGCTTTTGAACACAAAGAAGGAAATTAAGTTTAACGTTTTTAATATATTTATACTAAGAGAAAGCATTTATACTTAAATTATGTTTGTTCTCAGTCTTCAAGCTGTTCTCTTACTCATTTCGGTATTCAAATAGTACATTCTAATTTGGCATTCGTATATACTCACTCATTATCACACTCACAGAGAGCCGATTGTCTCTTATTTTGTTTATTGTATTGTTCTGTATTGAATTTTCACTTTCCGTTTTTTCATTGCCCTTTCCCAAAAGTTACTTAGTAATGCTCGTAATTTCTTGAAACTTTCTGATATTTTTCAAAGGGTAAGATGCATACTATGGTAAAAATTCCGCGAAATCAAATGACACATGAAGAGTAAAAAACTACGATTATAATATAAAAATATAATTTTTGAACGTTTTTTAGCCTCACCACTCCACCCATCTCTCTATATCCAAAAATAGCTTCTTTTATTATTTTTTTTGTCGACTTCACATTAAATTTTCTAATTAAAAAAATATGTTCAGGATAAAAATAATCTAGAATATTATAAAAAGAATTTGGGCAACAAGCACGAAACAAAATCTCCATATGTCCTCTAAAAACACGGATTGTTGTGTTTTCCAGATTTTTGTCGACTGCTGGGTGGTAGTAAAATATTAAATTTAGTTTTACCCATTTTGTCAAAATCAAACCGATTTCAGGTATAGGGCTAATTAGAGCTAAGTCAGAGCTTGTTAAGATGCTTATTAATGTGATAGATACATGAATTCTATATTAAAAATATA